TAGAACCATAATCACAGGGGACATCAAGCTCAATTGGCATTACACTACACAAAATATCATTCTACCTCCTACTTCGGCAAGTATCTACTGGGATCTTAAAAATTTGCAAGTAGCCATCTAGATGCAATGATGGGTCTCTCCTCGTGCAGAGCAAAGAAGAATGAAGAACACAAAAGATTCGTGGAAATAATTAGTCCTTGCGACTGATACACCATGAGATCCTTGGCCTATACGACTGTGAGACCAGAAGAATTAGATGGTGCCCAGCTACCACTGTCAACCACTTGGAGGGGGATCTATGTAGGAGATCCTGGATAGAGAGGGAGAACAATGTGGAACAAAACTCAAAATCATTTGGGGAAAAAAAAAAGAGACCAGGTTTGTTGGTCTGATAGAGCCTGGTGGAACCCCTGAGACTATGGTCCCTAGCTGCTCTTCAGGTCTGGAATTGAACCCACACCTGTGGCTTCCAGCCAATCAAAAGAGAGGCATAATGAGTTGAACATGTACCTGAGGTAGATACACTTCTTGGAGAGAACAATCATGGGAGAAACAAAGGCTGTTTATGCACAGGGAAACAGTTCATGGGGCAGGAGTACATGCAGGGATGGACACAGGGAAGAGGTAAGTATTGGGAAGAAGTGGGAGGGGAGTGTTGCATCGGGGTAAACTGTAGTCAATGTTATGAGACAACGTGTATGTGAACTGCTGTATGGAAAGTGAATTTCCTCTGTAAAGTTTCATCCAAATCACAATTAAAAAACAATAAATAAATACATAAGAAGAGGAAAAAAAAATGTTCATACTCAGCAACCTAACACTTTCATTTCTATGCTGTTATATTAAGGAAATAATCCTAAACATAGTAAGAATTTTATGAATAAGATAATCTTTAAGCATTATATACAATAAAATTAGAAGCAACTGATTATCAAAAGAAGAGATGTGATTAAATAAATTATAGTGTATTCATGTGATCCATTACTTTATTCTATTTTCCGTGAAGCTTTTAGTAATACAGAAAAATGTTATTAAATATGTATTTAAAACAATTTTATTAGTGGCTTAAGAATAGATAGATCCATGAAACAGAACAGCACTCAAAGGAAGCATTACAAATCAAATAGACTCTATAAAAAATGAACATACTTCAAATCTATAAGAAATTAAGATAGCATGGTATCAGCACAAGGAGCTCTGGTAGCGTTAGTGTCTAAGGCATCTGACTGCTAACCAGAAAGCTGGCGGTTCAAACCCACCAGCCACTCCTTGGAAGGAAGATTGGGCAATCTACTTCCGTAGCAATACCGCCACAGAAACCCAAGGAGGGGTTGCTATGAGTTGGGTCTGACTCAACAGCACACAACAACAACAACAGTATCAGCACAAGAACATATAGCTATATCAAAGTAAAAGAAGACTAGAAATAGCCCCAACACACATGGAAATATAGTATCTGAAAAAAATAAAAGTTCCAAAAATGCATAAAATTTGGACTAACTGATAAATGATGTTGCATAACCATATCTAGGGGACAGACCTGTACGTCATCAAAATAAAGTATAGGTAGATCAAAAGGTTCAAATGTAAAATGAAACAAAAAATTATGGGAGACCATGAAAAAACTATTTTCTAAATCCTATATTTGGGGTGGGGGTATCTTTTTAAATGGCATGGAAGCCAGAAACCATAAAAGAAAATACTGATAAATTCATCTACATAAAAACAAAAAATGTCTGCACAGCACAAACCACTGCATGAAAAATCAAAAGACAAATGACATATCTGGGAAAAAATATTTGAAACCGTATCAAAATGAGATTTGATCCTTAAAGTAGTAAGAGCATCTACAAATCAATATGAAAAAGACCAATAATCTAATTTTTTAAAAAAATTCAGAATATCAATAGATGGCTTACAGAAAATAAAGCATAAATTACCCAAACACATGAAGAGATGTACAACCTTGCTCAAAAAGAACATGTGCTATTAAACCTACAATGAATGTCAATCAAAAGTGACAGTTCAATAACACGTCAGTGAGGAAAAATGCCCACTCATATACTGCTGTTAAGAGTAGAAACTGATATAATCTTTATGCAAGGAAGGCAATTAGGTAATATTTGTTAAGAATAATCATTCCTTTTTACCAGTAATTTTATTTCTAAGAATTTAATGTATAGGTAAGACCTATTCATAAGTTAGTTATTGGTACATTTCTTGAAATAGCTGTCAAATACAATCTAAACACCTATTAATGTGGGACTATAATCACTCTACAGTATATCAATATAATGGAATATGCAGTCATTAAAAATAATGACGACAAGCTTGAGAACTTACCTCTGAAAAATAGAAACATAATCATACAAAAATATATATATGAATGTAATAGCCAAAAACTGAAAAATCCCAGATGTTCATCAACAGGTGGATGGTTAAACAAAACAGTGAGCTATCATACCACAGAATATTACTTAGCACTAAAAAAGGAACCCACTAAGGGAACTGACTACTACCAAGAGAAAAGAGCCAGGAGCTCTTTGGACCCAGGGTCCCTCTGCTGAGAAACCCCTAGACCCAGGAGAAGATAGATGCCAAGACACATGGAAATCTCCAATGGATACCAAGCCCATGTATGATGAAAGGAGGCAAAGATCTTCCCCTAGAGCAGCCAGAGAGATAAACCCTTCTATTAGAGCTGGAGCCCTGAATTTGGACTTCTAGCCTTCTAAATTTTGAGAGAATACACTTTTCTTTGTCAAAGCCAAATAAATAAATAAATAACAGAAAGAAACAAACTACTGATACATGCAACAATCTAGGTACTGTCCAGGGAAGTATGTTAAGTGAAAAAAACTAATCCCAACAGGTAACATATCATATGCTTCCATTTATATAACATTATTGAAATGATAATTTTAATGGAGGACAGGTTGTCAGAGGTTAAGGAGGGGATAGGGACAGGAAGAAATGGATGGGGGTATAAGAAGGTACACACAGGATCTTCGTGATGATGAAACTGATCTCTATCACAACCACATTAATGTCAATATCCTGGATGTGATATTGTACTATAGTTTTTGCAAGATGGTATTTCTCCCACTGGGGAAACTGGGTACATGGGATCTCTTGGTATTTACAACTACATGTGAATCTATAATTATCTCAAAATAAGTTTAATTTAAAAAAAAAAGAGAAAACGAGGAAGATTTTTTACTATTGCTTTGCAAAGATCTCAAATACATACTGTTAGGTCAAAAAAGCAAAGTAGAGAACAGTTTGCTATTATCCATGTGAGAAAAGAATTAAGAATTGCTCATATTTGTATAAACATAAAATACCTCCGGTAAAGTAAACCAGAAATTGGTAATACCAGATGCCTGTTCAAAGAGGAACTGGAAGGCTCAAGGACAGAGGTTAGGGAAAATATCTTTTTTTGGTAGATTAAGAATTTTGAAATATGTATATTACTTACTCAAAATAAATAGCAATTTAGAATAAAATTTAGATTCTCATTTCATACTATACACCAAAGCCAATAACCATGAACTAGAGCTAATTTTTAAAAATCAATTATTGAAAATTTTATATCCTTGAAGAAAAACTTCCTAATTATAAAAGCAATTTAAGAAGATGCAAAGAAAGTTAAGTCATGAATAGGACTACTTAAGAATTTAAGATGTACATATATTCAAAATCCTCTAAAACTTAGAAAAGTAAATAAACTGAGAAGAACTATTTGCAGCAAAAAGTTAAGAAGGTACATGGCTTTTTCACAGAAAACTCTCATATAAATTGATAAAGAAGCAACCAAGATTCTAAAAGCTATAAATCACCAAAAGATGAACAAACAAGAAAATAAAATTAGTTAATACATGGAAAAAATCCAAGTAACTAGAAACTAAAGAAATTCAACCAATGAAATGGCATTTCTACCCCTCCACTATTACATTAAGTAAGGAAAAACTTTTTTGAAGTATTAATAACATTGGCAAGGAAGTGATGAAACTGGCACAGCTAAGTGGATTATAACTATTCTACAAAGCAGTCTGGCAATAATTATCAAGACTCATAAAATCTTGTTCTTAAAAAATAATTCTAGGAAAATAATTCAAAGTATTTTAAAAAAATATTTTAAAGATGTCCTTTACATAAAAGATCTTTTTTTTGAGGCTCATGCTATCAAAAAGATGATAATCAGCCTATTGTTTGTTGGGATCTTTGTGGCTGCTACTAGCTGGTAATGGTGTCAGCCCCAACTCCCAGTGACCACCTCACGGAACAAAATGCTGCCCAGTCCTGCATCATCCCCATGGATGGCTGGGAACGGACTGCTGTGATCCATAAAGGTTTTCATTAGTTGATTTCTGGAAATAGCTTGCCAGGTCTTTCTTCCTAGCCTTAGTATGGATGCTCCAATGAAACTATTCAACCTCATAGTGACAGACTGCATATGAGGTGCATTGGCCAACAACTGAACCCAAGTTTCCCACAAGGAAAGCAAGAATTCTACCAGTGAACCACCAACAAGTAACCCCAATATTCTGCCAAAATCTTGGATACAGATCCACAGATTTTTCTATCCCAGCACTACCTATCAATCTAGGCAGCATGAGAATGCATAAAAATGAAACACCAAACCAATTCTAGTTTTATAGTTCTTTGAGTTCTTGTGCGTATCAGGATGTGATTCCTAAGGCAAATAAAATAAAATTTAGGTAATCTGTTTCCACAGACCACAAGAGTCATTGCATTAAAAGAATGGCAATAAAATGTCCATTTTAATGGCTCTGTACTAAATCAGTTGTAAATTCCTTATTTAATATTTTATCTTCTTCCAGTAAGGGGAGAGGGCACTTGATGGGGAGGACATGGAAGGGAGGTACTCTGCAGTAATTTCTGACACCCAAATGAAAATAGCAATTAAAATGTTTTTCCAAGTTGCATCTGGTATCCAACTCATTTTCTACAAATAAAATACAGTAGTTACCACATACCTGAGCTGTTAGACTGTCAGTATTCTCAGACTGAGTATTAACAACACTTGAAGATGCAAGTGGATCAGAGGACTCTTGGGGTTTTTTCTGGTTTTCCTTAGGTGGATTAGATCTTTTCAAATTCTTCCTTGATACAGGTATTACGGGTTTTAGACGCTTCTTACTATGAACTTGAGTAGGTTCAGACTCCAAACTATTCTTTGAACAAATTAAAGACAAAAATCCCAGTGGTCTTCGGCCAGGTCTAGAAACGCAAATATAAAAATATTCAACAATATCTAGAAAGACACATTCTTAATACCAACTTCTTTCCATTAATGCAAAAATGACACATTCTACTATATACTAACACCACTATGCTATGACATATATTTGTGAAGAAAAAGTCAAAGCAGTGTTTTCTCGAAGTTTAATTTTCCAGACAAATAACCTGGGCATCTTGCTAAAATGCACGTTATGACTGAGTTGGTGAAGTGTGGGGCCTGAGTTCCACATTTCTAACAAGTTTCCAAGAGACAGTCATGCAGCTGGCCCAGAGCACACTTGGATAATAAGGCTCTAGAACAGGAGTCAGTGAACTATGGTCCCAGGCCAAACATAGCCTACCACCTGATTCTATAAATGAGTTTTAATAGAACACAACAATGCTCACAAGTTTATATACTATCTAGAGTGCTTTTGTGCTACAGCAAAACTAAGTAGCAGTAACAGAAACCATAATGGTCTACAACATTTAAAAGATTTACAATATGTCCTCTTACAAAAATTGCTTGCTGTCTCCTGTTCTAGACCATTGTTTCTCAACCTATTTTAACCCAAACTCCATGTGACGCTTCCCTCATGTTATGCACATCCCCCAGGCCAGAAAAGAGGCTGCTGAGCTTTACCTCTCTGTAGTGTCTATTACAAAAGCAACAGGTGTTCGAGTTAAAGATGCCCTTTCATCCTCTTTCCCTTAGAACAAAGTAGGTGCATGTCCATCCTCTTGCCTCTCCAATACCACCACATTAAGAATCACTGTTTTTTGTTTGACTAGTACCAAAATAGGGAACTCTGGTAGCATAGTGGCTAAGGCACTTGACTGCTAACCAGAAGGCTGGCCGTTCAAACCCACCAGCCACTCCTCGGAAGGAAGATGGGGCAATCTACTTCCATAGTGATACTGCCTCGGAAACCCAAGGAGGGGTCGCTATGAGTCGGGTCCGACTAGATGGCACACAACAACAACAACAACAATACCAAAATAACAGATTATATTTTGAATGCTGCTGATAGGCCAATACTTGATAACTCATAAGACAAGCTTCTAGACTATAAGGAAAACAATGTGGTAGGTTTGGTTTAAATTCCACACTTAGTCTTACAGGGAGAAAGTCAATGGTTTTTACTTGATTGGTATGCCAAAAGAGAGAAAAATACACACATTATTTGGGACTTCAGTACGACTTCCATAATTACATCTGGTGTCAGCCCTACGTTTCCAATATTCTATTTATGCCTTGATAGCTACTGCATGGTAGAATAAATAATGACCAAATAATAACCATGGACAATCCAGAAAAGAAGGTATGCAAACATTCTAAATATTTCTTATTTAAACAGCCAAGTTTCAGTACTTTAACAAGTTCAGCTCTTATTTTATGGAATATGTATTTATCTGAACAATCTTCTCAAAGTGTTTGACATTACTGTATTTCCTTTGCTGAAACTCTTCCTTTTATATAACTGACAGACAAATTTATTTATAAAGCCCCATGCCTAGTAATGGACTTAATATTTCTTTATATATTACATCTGTCGTATAGCTTCTATTTATCTAATGAGAGAGGAGAGAAAGAAACATTTATTAAAGATTTTCTCATGATAACCTGGATAGGGGGGTTTTCAAAGATGATGTTCTGCTATCCACTTGTTCAGATTTAGAAGCAGCAATAGTTCTTTCTTCTTTATCCAACACAATCATCCCATCCTGAGGTGACTGAGGTGTGCTCCTTTCTTTTTGTGTATCTGTTTTGTCAAGAAATGTAGTTCCTATATTCTGCAAAGTTGGTTCAAGTTGTTCTTTCTGAGGATCTGGAGTTATATTTGTGCTTCCTGAGGTAGGAAAAATATTTTGTTCCTTGTAAGGCTCCCCTTCAAAAGAAAGAAAAGAAACAGTAAGCATATATTGAAATTAATTAAATTTAATTAGAATATTTGAAGGCAAAAAAATCATTGTGCTATTCTGATACAAACTTTCCCTAATAAGAGTAAGCTAAATTATGATTAGTGAGTTACCTGGACAATTAAGTATATCATAACTAATTAAAAGTTAATGGTAACAGCTTCTGCATTCAAGTAACAAATAGTTATATTAATGCATTTTGACCTAGAAAATCTTTCTCCATAAATATTTCTTCAACTAACAAAATGAAAGGGTGATACTTTTCTAATAATTCAAGGCTTGTTAAAATGTGGAAGCTAAGCCAACCCAAAATATAGGTGATTATACTCAAGTATTTGTGGTCTTATGGTAAAGTAAAACCCATAGATGCTCAAACTCAGTTCTGCTAAAGAGTTTTCTCTTTTTCCTAAACTAAATAATAAACAAAATAGCCATTAATTAGGATCAAATAAGGTGAATTTTTTTGTTAAATGAAAGAACTATTTTGTTATAAAAACCAAAACCAAATCCATTGCCATTCAGTTGATTCCAACTCCTAGCAACCCTGTAAGACAGAGTAGAATTATTACATAGGGTTTCCCAGGGTGTAAATCTTTACAGAAGCAGTCTGTCGCATCTTCTCCCTTGGAGTAGCTGGTAGGTTCAACCCTCCATCTTAGCAGCGGAAAACTTAACCACTGTACTACCAGGGTTCCTTCTATTCCACCCTCGCTTAGGATAGCTTTTCTAAGGTCTTACTCCCATCAAGAGCTTTTTAGCTCCATAACAATAGAATGAAGTTAGTAAGTATAACTACTAAAAGAAACAACTCCACTAAAGATGACCAAAAACCAAACCTACTGCCATCAAGTTGATTCTGACTCATCACAGCTGTATAGGGCAGAGTAGAACAACTGTCTCATAGGGTTTCCAAGGCTGTAAATCTTTATGGAAGTAGATTACCTCATCTTTCTTTTGTGGAATGGCTGGTGAGTTTGAACTGCCAACCGTTTGGTTAGCAGCCCAATGCTTTAACCACAGCACGACCAAAGCTCCCTTCCATTAAAGATAGTATCTAATATATTCATTAATACTTCAATGTCTTGTGATTTTTTAAATGTTTTTATTACAGAATGGTGGAGATGGAGGGAGAAACCTTAGGACACTTCTAAAGGCTAGAAACTGTAACCATATTACAGTTTCACAGTAAAGCCAGGACAACTGAGATTAAATCTACGACATTTTATTAATATCACCAGGTATTTCTTCTTCCATGTTTCTGTTGGGTGGGTTCAAACTGTCAACTTTTAGCTTATCAGTCAAGCATACTGTTCTGGTTACCTAGTGCTGCTCTGACAGGAATACACCACAAATGGGATGGCTTGAACAAATAGGAGTTTATTCTCTTACAGTTCAGGAGGCTAGAAGTCTAAGTTCAAAGTGCCAGGCTCTAGGGGCTCGGTGAAAGCCCCTCGACCTTGGGCTTCAGCTCTGCCTCTTGCTCCCGGCCCCCTGAAGCTAGAGGGATCTCTTCACTCAGGCAGCTACTGGCTGCTGAGGCTAACAAACCCAAGGTCAACAAAGAAAATGGCACAGTCCCAATGTTAGCAGAGCATGGCAGTCTACTGAACAACAACACAGCTACAAGAAGAGTTCAAGCAGGCCATAAGCTAGAGACCATTCCCCAAGGCTTTTCCTTATATATGGGAAGCAGACCAAAGGCAACTACTCAGCTGCTCACAATAGATTCCACCACAGAGTTGATTACCAGTCTCATCATGAGGAATACTACATCCAGCTGCCCAACCACTCAACCAGGACCAGCCAAGCTGACACACAAACTTAACCACCATACACACCTTTGTGCCACCTAAGACCTCTCTTTGTAAAGCTAAGGACCTGTAAAAATTCCTTTATACTCAGCCTTCTAATTTTTAAATTTGGTTGCTGAGGTTTTAAAGAAAATTTCTGTAGTCATGTGATTTTCTCTTCATTACAGGATGAAAGGAGATTCTTTTGGCTATGCACTCCCCTCAAAAAAAACAACTCTGTCAAGTCAACTTCAGCTCACAGTGACACCATTATGTCAGAGGAGAACTGTGCCCCATAGGGTTTTCAGCAGCTGATATTCAGAAGTAGACTGCCAGGTCTTTCTTCTGAGGCACCTCTGGGTTGGCCTGAGATCCAACCTTTCAGTTAGTACCCATGCGCATTAACCATTTCTTCCACCTAGACATTCTTTGGCTACCAAAAATAGCCAAAATCCAAGATCTCAGCAGGGAAGAGAACACTGCTGACAATGAAAATATGACTCCTAAAGAAAAGTGACCAACAATGTTTCAATCTCACATTTGAACGAGGTCCATCAAATAGCAGAGATACCAGCAAAATGCAATCAAGTTAAAATTTATTTTACTTACCTGTTTCCTCAAAAACATTTATTAATTCCTTTGAACATACCTGTTTTAAGAAAGTTTATGAGAAGGTTAGAAATCCATTTATCTTATCAAGTAAAATTAAAATTAAGCTTCTTTCTTAACTCTCTCTTTTTAAATAAACATATATTTCCCAAAAACCTCTAAGGTCAGGCAGTGTCTTTTGGGAATTTTACCAAACATTTATGGAAAACTCATTGCCACTGTTATTTAAACTGTTCTATAGCACAGAACAGGAAAAGCTTTCAAATACCTTTTATAAATCCAAGATAGTATTGATATCAACTACAAACCAGTCTCACTTATGTCAATTCAAAAATATCAGATTAATTATTACATTAATTCATACTACATCAAAAGACTAACATACCATGATCAAGCAGTTTATTCTAGAAATACAGAGATGATTCAATACTATGAAATCTATTACTATAATTCACAGATCTGAGGGGGTTGGGGCGAAAAAAAACCCATATGATCATATCTCTCCATTTGTGGAAAGGGTTTCCAGTAATATTCATTCTTGGGGGGAAAAATTAGTAAAACTGAATAGATGGATATTATCTTAACATTATCTTTATTAGTATCTAGATGAAGGAAGAATCTACTGATAATAGAAAAATATATTAAAATTCTTAAGCATAACTAAAAAGAAATGCACAAAATGTATACGAAGAAGACCTTAAAATACGATTGAAATACACAAAAGATTTAAATAAATGTGTTGTTGTTAGGTGCCATCAGGTTGGCTCCAACTCATAGCAACCCTATGTAAAACAGAACGAAAGAATGTCTGGTCCTGCACCAACCTCACATTCCTTACTATACCTGAGCCCATCACTGCAGCCACTGTGTCAATCCATCTTCATGAGGGCTTTTCCCTTTTGCGCTGACCTTCCACTTTACCAAGCATGATATCCTTCTCCAGGGAATGGTCCCTTCTGACAACATGACCAAAGTAGGTGAGACGAAGTCTCGCCCTTTTTCCTTCCAAGGCCAATTCTGGCTGTACTTCTTCCAGGACAGATTTGTTAGTTCTTCAGGCAGTCCATGGTACTTTCATTATTCTTCACCAACACCACAAAAAAAGTGACAATTCTTCTTCAGTCTTTCTTATTCACTGTCCAGTTTTCACATGCATATGAGGCAACTGAAAACACCATAGCTTGGGTTAGGCGTACCTTAGGCTTCAAAGAGACATCTTTGCTCTTCAGCACGTGAAAGAAGTCTTTCACAGCAGATTTGCCCAGTGTAATACATCATCTGATATTCTGACTGCTGCTTCTATTGGTATTGATTGTGGAACCAGGTAACATGAAATCTTTACTTCAATCTTTTCTCCATTTATTGAGATGCTGCTTATTGGTCCAGTTGTGAGGATTTTCATTTTCTTTATGTTGAGGTATAATGCATACTGCAGACCATAAGCTTCAATCTTCATTAGTAAGTGTTCCAAGTCATCCTCACTTTCAGCAAACAAAGTTGTGTCATCTGTGTATCTCAGGTTGTTAATGAGTCTTCCTCCAATCCCGACTGGAAGTTTTTCTTCATATAGTCCAGCTTCTCAGATTATTTGCTCAGCATACACATTGAGTAAGTATGGTGAAAGAACACAACCCTGACGCACTCCCTTCCTGATTTTAAACATGCAGTATCCCCTTGTTCTGTTCGAATGACAGCCTCCTAGTTTACATACAGGTTCCTCACGAGCACTATTAAATGTTCTGGAATTCCCATCCTTCTCAATAATTTATCCATAATTTGTTATGATCCACAGAGTCAAATGCTTTTGCATAGTCAATAAAACACAAGTAAACATCTTTCTGGTATTCTTTGCTTTCAGCCAAATCCATCTGACACCAGCAATGATATCCCTCATTCCATGTCCTCTTCTGAATCCAGCTTGCATTTCTGAAAGTTCCCTGTCAATATATGGCTGCAACTATTTTAAAATTATCTTCAGTAAGATTTTACTTGCATATGATATTAATGGTATTATTTAATAATTTCCACATTCTGTGGGAACACCTTTCTTTAAGTGGGTACAAATAGGGATCTCTTCCAGTCAGATGGCCAGGTAGCTGTCTTCCAAATTTCTTGGCATAGACAAGTGCCTCAAGCTCAGCAACCATTTGTTGAAACATTTCAATGGGTATTCCATCAATTCCTGGAACCTTTTTCTTTGCCAATTCCTTCAGTGCAGTTTCAATTTCTTCCTTCAATACCATCAGTTCTTGATCATATGCCACCTCCTGAAATGAACATCAACCAATTCTTTTTGGTATAGTGAGTCTGTGCATCCCTCCCACCTTCTTTTGATGTTTCCTGCATCATTCACTATTTTGCCCATAGAATCTTTTAATATTGCAACTTGAGGCCTGAATTTTTTCCTCTGTTCTTTCAGCCTGAGAAATGCTGAGTGTGTTCTTCCCTTTTGGTATTCTAACTCCATTTCTTTGCACATTTCATTATGTTGTTGTTGTTGTTATTTGCCCTTGAGTCAGCCCCGACTCATAGCGACCCCTCCTTGGGTTTCCGAGGCAGTATCACTACGGAAGTAGGATTGCCCAACCTTCCTTCCGAGGAGTGGCTGGTGGGTTTGAACCACCAGCCTTCTGGTTAGCAGTCAAGTGCCTTAGGCACTATGCTACCAGAGCTCCTTATTGATTTTATTATCTTCTCGAACTGCTCTTTGAAATCTTTTGTTCAACTCTTTTATCTTGTCATTTCTTTGATTTGCTTTAGCTACTCTCTGTTTAAGAGCAAGTTCAGAGTCTCTTCTCACATCCACTTTGGTCTTTTCTTCCTTTCCTGTCTTTTTAATGACCTTTTGCTTTCTTCATGGATGATGTCCTTGATGTCACCCACAATTCCTCTGGTTTTCAGTCACTGCTGTTGAATCCGTCAAACTAGTCTTTAGATGGTCTGTAAATTCAGATGGGACATAATTAAGGTCATATTTTAGCTCCTGTAGACTTGTTTTAATTGTTTTTAGTTTCAATTTGAACTTGCATATGAGCAGTTGATGGTCTGTTCCACAGTCAGCTCCTGGCCTTGTTTTAGTTGTAGATATTGAGCTTCTCCATTGTCTCTTTCCACAGATGTAGTTGATCTGATTCCTGTGTACTCTGTCTGGTGAAATCCACGAGTATAGCCATCATTTATGTTGTTGAAAAAGGTATTTACAATGAAGAAGTCATTAGTCTTGCAAAATTCTATCATGCAATCTCTAGCATGGTATTATATTTTTGAATGGGAATATTCAAACATCATAATTATAGTGTTAATTTTCCCTAAATTAATCTGCCAGGTTAATTTGATTATAACATAGGAGTAATAGGATTTTTTAAAAATCTAAACAAGCTAATTTTCAAATTAATATAAATTTTAGAACATATAAGCAACTAGGAGAAATATGGGGGGGAAAGAACAAGAAAATTATATTGGGTGATGAGTACTGAGCAATGTATTATAAAGCTGTTGTTGTTGTTGTATACTGTCATCTAGTCATATCCATCTCATAGTGACCCCTCTTTGGATTTCTGAGGCGGTATCACTACAGAAGTAGATTGCCCAACTTCCTTCTGAGGAGTGGCTTGTGGGTTCTGGTAAGCAGTCAAATGACTTAGACACCAAGCCACCAGAGCTATAAGACAATAATTAAAACAGTGTGATACTGGCCCCATATCAGATAGGTAGATCAATGTAAAGGAAAATAAAGTTCAGGGATACACCAGTTATAGATTGAACTGTGCCCAACAAAATGTATGTTAAATTCCTAACCCTTGGTACCTGTGAATTTGACCTTACTTTCAAATAGAATCTGTTATGGATGAACTGCTCCCCAAAAAATTTGTGTTGTAAATCCTAATGCCTCTACCTGTGACTATAATCCTATTTGGAGACAGAGTTTTCTTTTTGTGTTAACAAGGGCTTAAAGGTGTCAAATATAACTTAAGTCAATTACTTCTGAGATATAAAAGAGCAGATTAGGCACAGAAGCAGCAAGCACAAATGGGAAAAGAAAAAGGCCACATGGAGATCTCCAAGGAACACTTGAGAACAATGCTAGAGAAGCTAAGACAGGTATTTTACCCTCAGAGCTGACAGAGAAAGTTTTTCCTTAGCTGATGTCCTAAATTTAGACTTCTAGCCTTCTATAATTATGATGTTTGAATATTCCCATTCAAAAATATAAGCTGTGAGAAAATAAATTTCTGTTCATTAAAGCCACCCACTTGTGGTATTTCTGCTATGGTAGCACTAAGAAACCAAAAAAATGCAATTAGTCAAGATAATAGGAAGTCATACAGGAGCATGGACCCTAATCCAATATGACTGTTACCATTTTAAGAAAAGAAATACAAAGATCCAGAGGGAAAATGGCCACATGAAGACAGGCAGAAACTGTAGTTATGCTGCTAGGGTGAAGCAACACCTGGGGCCATGAAAAGTCACAAGAGGCAAGAATATCATTCTGTTGTTTTAAGCCAAGCAGCTTGTGGTACTATGTTACGTACATATATAGGAATTTATTATTTGATAAAAGTAGAATTTTAAATTAGTGGAGGAAAGATGAATTATTCAATAAATGGTGTTGGAACAACTAGGTAACCCATTAGGAAAAAAATTAAGTTGGCTTCACTCTATAAATTCTAGACAGATCAACAATATGAGCTAGAAGAAAGTTTTTAAAATCTCAAAGAAGTCCTTTCAACATATAACATAAGCCCCAGAAGTCAAACATGAAAAGGCTGATAAAAGTAACTACAGAAGAGGAAAGTGTTTGTACAAAAGTCTATCTGAATGCAGCCACATATGCATTCTAGAACTAAAAATCACATCAATTTTTCACAAGCAATTAATTTTCTATTGTTAAAACACCAAAACAAAGTTTAGAAAATAAAAATCACAAATAAATTCAACAGTTACTATATTTTGCTTAAATATTTATTAACACTACTGTACTTCTACCGTTTTTGAATGACATACTATAAACTGATGACCTAGTTTTACACTTAACAATACATTGTGAACTTTTCCCCATGTGTGCCGCAATAAATTGCTTAGTATAATTCTTCTAGCCATGGTCTTTGTGACTCTCACCAAATGACTTAGTGAACTATGAAAGTGTGAGGTGCTTGTGGTTCACCAAGGGGATTGGATAGTTTGCTAATAACGGCTCCCTGTGGGGGTGGGGCTGTGCAAATAAGATGTGTGGAACTTTAGTTTTGTCATTCTACTAGTCTTAAAATGAACTCTCCTAGAGGCAAAAAAAGAGTTCTGGTGGCACAGGGGGTAAGGCATTTGGCTGTTAACCACAAGGTCTGTGGTTCAAACCCACCAGCTGCTCTAAGGGAGGAAGATGAGGTAATCTACTTCTATAAAGATTTACAACCTTGGAAACCCAATGGGGGTTGCTACGAATCCCAATTGACTCAATGGCATGAGTTTGGTTTGGTAGAGGCAGAAAGGGGGATCTCACTGCCATGGAGAGAGAGGCTCAGAGTGGAGCATGTCCTTGGACCCAAGGTCCCTGTGCTAAGAAGACAGCAGAGAGATGACGGCAGCAGAAGCGTGAGACTGGTATGGGACAGAGCAGTGGGCTTGCTGGCCTACGGAGTAAGAAAGCTGAGTACTTTGGGGCAGGAGGCTTGCTGGTGGAGTGGTGTGTCCCCCAGTTTATCAGCAGAGCTAAAAGAGCTTTGTAACACTTGCCTGAGCAGAGCAGAGGGCAGGCTGAAAGGCCAAAGGCTAAAGAGAGGCATGACTGCAGGCATAGCAGAGAGGAGACCATCCTGGTCAAAGAACTGTATCCTGAACATGTTCCTGAACCTGAATTGTAACCTGTTACTTCCCTAAGAAACCCCATAATTGTGAGTACTGTCTGTGAGTTCTGTGTGGCCATTGCAATGAATTATCAAACCCAGCAGAGAAGTAGTTGAGTGCTGTGGGAGGAACGGTTAATGTCAGAATTGGTAAAAAAGTTGGAGGGTGGCAGCATGTCTGACTTCTGCCTTATAGGAATCAGCTTTGGGCTAATGCTACTGACCCTTCTCCCCTCCCCCTCATGAGGCTGGAGGTGGTCAGAGGAGGATGCTGGCCTCATGCTCTTTTTTGTACCACACCATTAAATATATATTTAAAATAAAACTAAACAATGCCTGTATGAAATGCTGATAAACTGATGAAACTTGGTGCATTATACTGTTCTGTATACCTTTTATATGTTTGACAAAATTCATATTAAAAAGTTAACCAAAAAGGTGGTTGGGAGAAAACCACAAAAAGTAGAGCCAAAAGACAAATGACTGGGAAAAAAAAATATTTGAAGTTTATATCACAAGTATATGCATAATAAAGAGTTCATCCAAATCTATAAGAAAAAGGCATACAAATGAATTGAAAAATGGGTAAAGAATATAAAGAGTCATTTCATGGAAAAGGAAAAACAAATGACTCTTAAGTATACAAAAAGATTCTCCATCTCCCTCATAATTACAGAAATGAAATCTACCATGGGATACTATTATTTCAACCTACTGCTTGAAAGTGACAATCTAAAACTGGTTTTACCTGGATTATTTATGCTGAAAAGTATCAGATTTTATCTTTATATATTTTAAAGAGTCTAAAGGATAAAACAAATAATTCTGTTGGAAGATGGCAATCTTACTTGCTTAATGATTCTGTCTTACCTCAGAGGTATATTCCCGATAATCATGTCTGGAAGTGAGTGAACATTTTTTTGCAGGAGAAACACAGTTACTGTCTTCAAGCCTGCAATGGACTCTCTTCCTAGATATAAAATCCAAATCAGCAGCAGGATTTTCAGAATCATCTCTTCCAGAATTATATAAACATATGTTATCTTGACCAATTGAAGTTACTGGAAAGCTCATACTGCATAGAAAATAAATATGTATTAAATCAGTGAATTAGAAGTTACTCAATGAGATTAAAGCCTGAGCTATTACAATGAAAATTGCCAAAAAATCCAAAGTAACTAATACATACGTTGTCATGTCTATACAAAAGCTAATTTCTGGCTCCATTCCTATTTAAAGGCTTGCAACTTAATTTTCATAACAGATTAAATCTGAGGTATATAAACAGTATTCTCCTCACTTGTAAGGTTAAATTTTTAATGCAAAACATCCCTTCCTAATATAAAAGGCTTCAATTTCTAATGTTACTTAATGAGTTAGGCATCTTAACCATCACTGTTAAAATACAACTTTGTGACTAATCCCTCACAAACACCCAGATGCTGTGGGAGAGAGATCCAAAATACATAAAAGCCTTGTTAAAAAAAAAAAAAATAATAATACAATTTTGTTGTTGTTAGGTGCCATCAGGTGGCTCCAACTCACAATGACCCTGTGGTACAAAAGAACGAAATATTGCCCAGTAAAATCCAACTTTATACTTTTATAATAAAGAATTAAAATAGGATTTAAAAAAATACAATCAAATGTTACCTCTTAACTATTTTTGCCACTTCTTATGAATGTATATTTCAGATATTTTAAAGAGTTTAAAATAAATATATAAATGTTTATGAAGTAACCATAATTTTAAAGGTACCATTTTATGATCCAGACTATTAATTTTTCTAGGCTCTCAAAAATACCAAAAGGCATTATATAATATACAAGTATCATATAACAATATTATATTATTCATATATTTAAGTGACATTCTTATGAAACATGCAATCAACCACCTTACATTTCTGCTCTAAGTTATCACAAAACTACTAAATAAGATCTGCAGGGCAATTATAAATAATGCTAATGAATGACTTGTTTAATCAACACATAAAACACTTTTCCCTGAGCAAAATAATTTAGCTCATTAATTACCTCATGTCACCCCTTTCTTCTTTATTCACTGATTTAACCAATATGGGTGCTGGCAGGAAAGGGTTTGGCATTAACTGTGTAGCAGTATTAGTAAACTCTTCTACTGCATTGGTTGGGATTTCCACCAGAGTTAAGATGAATGCTTGCTCATCCTCTCCATCTTGATGTACATTAGCAACCAGATTCACTATCAAAGTTTAAAAGTTAGTAATAAAAAACTGAGCCATGAAACAACAGAAAACCATTACTTTATTCCATTTCTAAGAGTCTCATGACAACTTATCACCAAGACTAAAAAATTAAACACCCCCCAAAAATTATTTCATAAAGGATAATGGTATATATATTTTAGAGATGATTTATAATTCTGAATAATAAAACTCATACACAACATACTTCAAGTTGTTTTTATTTTTTAAAAGGCCACCATATATTTTTAAAAAAGAGAAGTATTTAGTATTATTTATAGTTATATGGGGATTAAAATCATACTAGTAGGTTCTAGGACACTTTATTGAAGTAGATTATCATACCTGCTATGTCTTGAGGACTGATTACATTCTCTTGTTGGACTTCTGACATACTAGTTGGGGGACACTGCCATGAAAAATTAAAAGGAAAAAAGTGAGACTGAAAAAATTTTAGTTTTAAAAAGTTTTCCTATGTGCTTCCAAAGGCTTCTCCAAAAGAGTCAAAAAGAACCTACAGATTGGGAAAATAGTTGGCAACGATGTATCTGACAAGGGACTTATCTCTAAAATTTACAGAAAACACGAACACCTCAACAACAAAAAGATTAACAATCCAATTAAAAAATGGGCAGAAGACATGAATAGACACTTCACCAAAGAGGATATTCAGGCAGCCAACAAACACATGAAGAAACGCTCATGATCATCAGGCATTGGAGAGATGCAAATTAAAACAACAATGAGATACCATTTGCCCCCAGCACTAGAGCAAAGTGCAACAAGACAGAAAATAACAAATGCTGGCAAGGATGTAGAGAGATCAGGACTCTCAAACACTGCTGGTGGGACTGTAAAATGATACAACCACTGTGGAAAGCAGTATGGCAATTCCTTAAAAAGTTGGAATTAGAAAAAACCATTTGACCCAGTTATCCCATTACTAGGTATATATTCTAAAGAAGTGAGAGTCAAGACAAGAACAGACATGCACACCCATATTCATCGCAGCACTATTTACAATAGCAAAAAGATGGAAACAACCTAGATGCCAATCAACAGAAGAATGGAAAACCAAACTATGGTACATACACACAATGGAATACCATGCAACCCTAAAGAATAACATAGAATCTGCAAAACACTGCATACCATGGATGAACTTGGAGGACATTATGCTGAGTGAAGTTAAGTCAATCACAGAAGGACAAATATTGTATTAGTCTATTATTGTAAAAAGTCAAGGAAAGGTTTATATATGGAAGGGAATTTCTCTGTTCGTTCCCAGGGGTGGAAGAGGAGGGGAGGGAACACTGCTAGATAGGTAGATACAAGTATTGATTTGGGTGAAGAGAAGGGCAATGTACCAAATGTGAGTGATCAATATGGTGGCAATGAGGAAGAGGAAGACACAGAGAGGTACATGGGAGGTACAAACAACAAAGATGAACCCTTTTGCACAAATAGTACTGTGTTGTCAGTGATGGTCGATAGATGGGTGGACAGGCTGAACTATTAGATAGGTCTATTCAGGGGGGAGTGTGCCCATGACCATGTATAGGGTTGGCAAACAATGTTTCTACAAGTGTATTTTTATGTTCTATAAGAATTCTCAGGTATATATACTAGAGTTAACAAGGGGTAAGGTGGTAGTCACTTCTTAGCCACACCCAGCAAGGAGTTGGATCTGTGGGCTTGGGACCATAGTCACAGGGGACATCAAGCACAATTGGCATAACATACTACAGAAAAACACTGTTCCACATCCTACTTCAGTAAGTAGCAACTAAGATCTTAAAAACTGGCAAGCAGCCAGCTAGATGGAACGATGAGCCTTTCCTCGTCCAGAGGAAAGAAGAATGAAGAAAACCAAAAATGCATGGAAACAATTAGTCCAAGTGACTGGTACACCATGCAGTCCTCAGCCTATATGACCATGAGACCAGAAGAACTAGATGGTGCCCAACTACCATTGTCAACCACTCATAGAGGGATCTATGTAGGAGATCCTGGATAGAGTGGGAGAACAATGTGGAACAAAATGCAAAACCACTAAAAAAAAAAAAGAGACCAGGTTTGCTTGTCTGATAGAGCCTGATGGAACCACTGAGACTATGGCCCCTATCTGCCCTTCAGGACTGGAACTGAACCCACTCTTGTGGCTTCCAGTCAAACAAAAGACAGGCATATGAGCTGAACATTTACGTTAGGGAAATACACTCCTTAGAGAGATCAATCATGGGAGAATAGAAGGGCTGTATATGCACAGGGAAACAGTTCAGGGGGCAGGAGTACATGGGAGAGAAGGACACAGGGAAGAGATGGCTATGGGGAGGAAGTAGGAAGAAAGCTGTTGCACTGTGGGAGATTACAGTCAATGTCATGAGATAAAGTATATGTGAACTGCTGTATAGAAAATGAATTTGCTCTGTAAACTTTCACCCAAATCACAATAAAATTTAAAAAAATAAAATAAAATGGCTGCTGAAATTCTGGGGGGTAGGGCGGAGTTTTCCTGGCAATTTTGAACAGATATTCATTAACAACTTAAGGATTTATTTAATCAACATGTAGTTTTCAACTATTTCGGATCTTTTAGCTTTCCCGATACATTTTTTATTCATTTAAACACGCACACACACACATACACACACATGAATCTTCCCTAAATTGTTAAATATGTAGTTTACAAAATTATTTTTTTGTAATAATTTTGTTTGGGAAATGCAAACTCCTCAACTTTCTCTCTACCCCCATCACATCAGCCAATGTGTTATTAGTACTTGACATCCGAACGGAGGCAAACTGGTTTCCATGTCTTTAGTATGGCTTCCTCCATCTGTTTTCCCCAAAATTGTATGCAACACCTTTCTAAAATGTAATTTTGATTGTCATTCTCTAATGCTTAAAGTCTTAAACCTTCATTTTACAAACAATGTAGTGATCAATTCAGACAAAGATGCTCAACAGATACTAAAACTATTGTATGAAAGGTTGCTGGGTCTTATCAACCTGATTAGTTATTAATACAAAGTAGAAAAGATGTCTTTACAATAGAGAAATCTGGCAGGCACTCCCCTAGCCAAAAGATCAAGCGGCATCACCAACAATGGGAAAAATTGGTGTTATCTATCTTCTGATGTGATATAAAAAGAAAGACATCCCATCACCTATGTAGAAATCTTGCCAAAAATTGTTTAATCTGAATTTAATAATGAGGAAACAATAAAAAAAAAATTCCAGTTTGTGGACGGGCCTAGAGCCTTCTGAAACATCAAGTTCAAAAGAGGAGAAAAAAGGCAGGAAAACTCTAGATTAAAGAGACTAAGGAGAAATGACAACTAAAAGCAATGTGACAGCCTTGACTCGATGTTGATTTTTTTTAAGCTATAATGGATACGATTAGGACAACTAGGGAAATTTGAACAGGAACTGTATATTATATAATATCTTTATATTACATAATGGAGTACTTAAGGGTGAAAGGTCATATGTGCTACTTTCATATGGTTCAGTTCTTAAAAAGTATCTATCATACATCTATAAATCAGTATTCCAACTTTTATCTCACAAAAACAAGGACATTCTGTAGAGAAGTGAGAATACACACTTATGAAATGACTTACCATATTTGTGAAATTTAACACTGACTGAATAATATAGTAATAAACCCTGGCAGCACAGTAGTAAAACTGTTCAGCTGCTAACCAAAATGTGGGGCAGTTTGAACCCATCAGCCATTCCACAGGAGAAGATGTGGCAGCCTGCTTCCATGAAGATTTATAGCCTTGGAAACCCTATGGAGCAGTTCTACTCTGTTCCTTATAGGGTTGCTATGAGTTGGAATCAACTCAATGGCAATGGGTTTGGTTTTTTCACCTACAGATCTATCTATAGGGATGGAGAGCAAGTGAGAGAAAGAAGCAAATGTGACAAAATGTTAACCATGAATGAATCCAAGTGAAGGACCTGAGAGCTCTCTGCACCACTGTTAATGCTTTTCTGAGTTTGAAATTATTATTACTACTTTTTTTTTAAAGAAAAGAAAAAAGCCAAGGAGGAAATCTCATAACTTTGGATGCATTCCAAATTCCTTAGCCAGTAATAAAAAACCTTTTCTGACCTGTTCCCAGACCACCTTTCTAACTTTCTCTCTTACTATTCTTCATTATATTCCACTCATAATTACCTTCATTATATTCCACTCATAACAGTTCCCTGAACATGTTATGCCATTTCTCACCTGGTCTTTGTACAAGTTCCTCTCTCTTTAACTGGCTAACTCCTACATGCTCTTCAAGAATAGGGATTCTCTCAATCCTGGCTGCACACTGCAATCTCTGGTGAACATCAAAAACATTTCTAAGCTTGGGGCCTATTCCCAGAGACTGATTTAAATTGTAAGGGTTGAAGATCACACCTATGGAATCCGTGCAAACCTTTCTCATAGCACGTATCACATTGAATTTAACCATTTTTTTATCCCCAGTAATTCCCAGTGTGAGACATGAAGTAGCAACATCTCTATAAATGCCTGCTCTGTAGATGAACTCCTTAGGTCCAGGAGCTAAGAAGCAAAAGGCCAATTCTCTGTGTACAACACAATTCCTTTCTCAAGGCCTTTACAACAAAGCTGCATATTAGCTGTTTTAACGCTATGCTCCAGAGACTAAAATCACACTTAAAATCCTATCATAATACATTCATGTAAAGCAAAGGTAAAGGGACATAAAACAGATCAGTGGCTGCCAGAGGCTGGGAATGGGAAGAGGATGTAACTATACATATGCAACTGGACAGGCATTTTGGGGTGACAGAACAGTTCATATATTGACTGTGGTGACGGTGGTTACACAACTGTATGTTTATCAAAACTTGCAGCATTGTACACTAAAAAGGGTATATGTAAATTACCCCTTACTACTACTACTTTTTTTTTTTTTAATTTTTTTAATGAGGGAATAACTCCTAGCCATTCCTTGCTACATTTTACATTCTTTTACCTCTGGCTCACGAAGTGTAAGCACACTGTCCTCAATGGAACGCTCTGTCAGGGGCTCACCAAGACCCCTATCCAGACCAAGCAGGTGGGGTACTGTCTCTGCAGAAACCACTGACAATCTCTGAACCTCTTCAGATCTCTCTTCTTGGCTTTCATTTCTAAAAGAGAGTTTTAGTACATATTTGAAATCAGACATACAACTACAGAATAAATGAAGGTTTTATCTACAATTCACACATATTTTGTGTGGTGACATTCACTGTAATCCCCACAATGTGACAGCACTCACCCACTTCCTCCCTGTGTTTACCAATTCCCTTTGTCTTTCTTTCCTATCCCTTTCTGCCTTCTGAGCTTTATCCTTGGGCAAATGCTGCCCTTTGAATCTCAAATGATTGATTGTTTTAAGGGGTGTGTATCTCCCTGGTATTACTGTTCACCTTATATGCATATCTACCATTTGGCTGAAAGTTGATCCATGGGGTAAGTTCAGTTCCAGGCTTGAAGGGTGCCAAAGGACCATGGTTTTAAGAGTTCTATCAGTCTCTATCAGACCAGCAATCCTGATATGATTTTGAGCTTTGGTCCACATTCTTCTCCCACTCTATCTAGGACTTCCTACTGTGAGGCCTTTTAGAGTGGTCAGCAGTGGAAGCCAAGCACCATCTAGCCCTTCTGATCTCAGGACTGTGGAGGCCAACACCCTTAGTCTTTTGGACTGTTTCCTTATGTCTTTGATTTTCACTCTTCTTTGCTCCAGATAGGGAAAGGCCAGCAGCTGTCCCTTAGATGGCCACTCACAAGCTTTTAACAGTAGCTACTCACCAAAGTATGATGTAGAATGCTGTCTTTGTAGACTGTGTTATGTCAGTTGACATTAGTGTCACCCAAAACTATGGTCCTGAGCCTCCATGCCCAGTGACTCATTTCCTCAAGGTGTTTGGTTATGGCTAACAGGTTTGCATAACTTTGCCTCCTGTATGCTCTACTATATTCATGGATATATTTGCACCACATAATATATACAAATGTAGAAATATTCTCTCAAACCTACAAATGAGTGTAGTCCCATTGGTTTTCCCATCCCTGTTCAGCTTCAGTGTCTACCTATGTATCTACTCGTAGATTACTATTACTGTTACTACAGGATTACGTATGTAATAATACTTACCTTTGTTGCTTTTAACTCTTATGGTCCTCCCAGCGTCTTCCTGTGCCTTTATCATTTTGTGCTGATCTCTCCTTATTGTATATTGTCTTTCCCTTCACCCAAGTTAATAAACTTTTAAAAGCAAGTTGCTTCAAAGATCAATGGTTTTGAAACTTTTGAAATATATTTCATGCAGCAGAAGCCCATGTTCAATCAAATTCTTATAGTTATTGCTACGCTTAAAACAGGATCTCTGGAATCTCTTCTATCTTACCTTTCAGTTAGGTTTGCTTCTTGTGAAATTCTGGTTCCTTCCATACCATGTGCACAAGCCAATTTGCTCTGCTCCTTTTTCTCTGCTGTTATAATGGATCCAAGGTTTTTATCTTCTGAGTCTGTTTCTTTGATGATATTTTTCTCAGTTTCTTAAATAAAAAACACATTTAAACATTATGCTGAGTGAAATAAATCAGTTACCAAGGGATAAATATAGTATTTCACTTATATAAAATACAATATTACATTTACATGAAATATCTAGGATTAACAAGTGTATTAAAAAATCCAAACCAAACTATTTGCTGTCAAGTAGATTCTAACTCTTAATGACCTAAAGGACAGATTAGAAATATCCCAGAGGGTTTCCAAGGCTGTGAATTTTTATGGAAGTAGATTGCTATATCTTTCTCCCATGGAACAAGTAGGGGGTTCAAATTTCTGACCTTTCAGTTAGCAGCTGAGAACTTAATCACTGTGTTACTGGGGCTCCCAAGTAAGTGAAGTAGAAACCAAAACTCAATAGTGGTTACCAGGGTGAGAGGAAAGGAGAGGGCTCACTGCTTAGAGCACAATGAGCTTCTAAGAAGGCTCATGGTAAAACACTAAATGGGTAATATTTACCACTGGAATGACATGATCAACTTAACTAATGTCAGTGACTTACACATGTGAAGAATTTGTTACACATGAAAACAATTTGTTACATGTGTATTTACTACACCCCAAAAAAACTATCCTCAAAAACAAAAGACATTTTAAGACATGGTCTAAAACAGTACAACTTAAATCTCCATATGTTATTGTTAGGTGCCATTGAGTCAGTCTGGATTTATGGCATATTGTGTACAACAGAATGAAATACTGCCACGTCTTGTGCCATTCTCACAATCACTGCTATGCTGTAGCTCATTGTTGCACACACTGTGTCAGTCCATCTCATTGAGGGTCTTCCCCTTCTTCACTGACCCACTATTTTACCAAGCATGATATCCCTTCTCCAGGTATTGGTCCCTTTTGAAAACACAGCCAGAGTATGAGAGACAAAGTCTAGCCACTCTTGCTGGTAAAGAGCATTCCAGCTGTACTTGTTCAAGACAGATTTGTTTGTTCTAGCAGTCCATGGGACATCCAATATTCTTCTACAGCAACACAACTCAAATGCATCAATTCTTCTGCAATCTTCTTCTTTTTTTTTAATTGTGATTTGAGTGAAGATTTACAGAGCAAATTCACTTTCCATACAGCAGTTCACATACACTCTGTCTAACAACATTGACCAGTTTACCACAATGCAACAGCTTCCCTCCCACTTCCTCCCCATAGTTACCTCTTCCCAGTGTCCGTCCCTCCATGCACTCCTGCCCCCTGAGCTGTCTCCTTGTGCATAAGCAGCCCTTCTTTCTCCCATGATTATTTTCTCCAAGGAGTGTATCTACCTGAGGTAAATATTCA